TCAAAAGTGGCTAGCTCCCGTTAAAGATTCACAGTCAGCGAAGTGCTGCGTTTTGAAACCAAAGCTAAGTGCTTCAAACCACTCACCAAGGTATGCAATATTGGATTCATCGTGAATGAAGAGAAAGCAGAAGGTGTGCGCCACATGCTGCGTGGTTCATCTTACGCCGTTAAGTTCCAATGAGTTTTTACGTAAAAACACAAACAAAACTGCCCTTTTCAGGGCCACCACACACTCCAAAAAGAGAACTACCGTAACAAACACACTATTAAAATAAATCAAACGCGTTCGTTTTTGGCAAATAAAACTTTATTGTTGTCCCTGTTCTTGGCTAAAATCACCCTGGGCGTTTATCCTAGGATGTCCCCAACATGTAACTTTTGTGAAAACAGGGGGGGGGGGGCTTGCCCAGGGGGTAATACGGTATCAGGTCTTTTTTTAAAACTCCTGAAATTTTAGTTTAGGCTCTTGTAAAATCTAGATTACAAATTGTAATATGATGGCTGGGTTTCTGGTGTCCTGTTATTTGGATTACAATACAGACTAATTTTTGGAACTGTGTAATCAAATTACACTGGCTATTTGTAAAGCATTGTTTGTTGTTATTGGTGATATGTGTTACAAACTAAATTGAGTTTGGTAATATTCAATCAGTCTTCACTATAAATTTTGTAACCTTTGCTGACCAGCTTTTTTTTGTTGCTGCATTTTTGAGATATGATGTTGAATATAGTTCTTGAATCTCTGGTGAACATTTTTATCCAAAAAAAACACTCAGTTATTATAAGCCTCATTCTTAGATGATAACAGACTATAAAAACATGCATTTTAAATCAGTGTAATTCTCTACAGATGCCTTCAGATACAACAAATGACAAATCACTTCCTGTGACAAATCAATTCATTGGTCTCGTTGCCGTGCTCAGTGCATGCCTTTCAAGTGGCTTTGCTGGAGTTTATTTTGAAAAGATTTTAAAAGAAACAAAGCAATCATTATGGTTACGAAATATACAACTTGGTAAGTAGAAATTAGTAGCAGGACGCAGCTCGAAAATGGGGACTTATGGTTTGACTTCTGTGTGTCCATGTGTCTGTCTGTGCGTGCATCCAGTCCTATATCTTAGACATGCCTGGACTGATTACATTCAAACTTCACAAATACATCATACATAATATTATATATATGCACATCATTTGTTTCACAATCTGATTCAAGATGGTCGAATGGTGGCCATTGTTGTGCTTCAACATTAAAATCAAGCATTCATGGATGGATTTTGTTCAAACTTTGTAGATACATTGGACATCATTTTTCAGATCGGATTCTAAATGGCCGACTGGCAGCCATTTTGTTCATGCAGTTCTAGTGCCATATCTCTGCCATGCTTTGACTGATTATGGTCGAATTTTATATATTCACTATGTTCAATTACCCACCATAGACTCCGGTCAGTCAAAATGACTATTTTGAACTGGAGGCATTAATCAGCGATCCTGCCAATGACGGAGAGATAGAATCTAGGTCAGGGGAAGCCCCATGACCCCAAGATTCTCTTTCCCTTACGTCATGAATCACGTGATCGATGA